ACTAGTACAGTAAAGCAAAACTGTGTCACTCACAGCGGTCTTGTACTTTCATATTGCATTGTTCATAATACCTACCTTTCTCGGCGGGTCAAGTGTATATCAGTTTGCAAAAAACATGACAACCTAACTTGGAGCTGACCGGCGCCCCAAGACCGTATGTGCAATGGTGTTACCCGCTACCCGTGATGGCTGACGTGTACATAAGCGAGCCAGCAGGTTCCCTCTCCCCCATTGTGTCTCGCAATGTTCCTGAGGGAAGAGGGAGCTCGACCATCATGTCATCCTCTAACAGGCAGGGAAGGAGGAACAGGGTGAGGAAGGTAAAGGGAACGGGGGAGGAACCGGGAGGCGGTCGCGGCCCCGCCACGAGGGCGAACAGGGGGGTCGCAGAGTTGAGGAAAGGCAAAAGTGTCGGTTCCTCGGTGGACGAGAAGCCGCAGTTCAAAGACTATCTCGCTCAGCAGAGACAGAGGCGGCTTCAGCGGCTCAAAGGCAAAGGTGGCAAACAAAAAGCAGAAAGGGGGCAGAAAAAGGATGATGCGGTGGAAAGTGAAGAAAAGCTCACTCGGGGAGACTCGGCGGGCAGCAGTGGAAGTAAAGACGAAGGGATACATAGCACGGGCGAGAAAGAGGAAGACGCTGACAACGAAGAAAAAGATGGAAGCCAAGAAACTGAAATCGCGAACGAGGTGGACGACGACGAGGGGCGGGGAAGTATAAATGATGACAACGAGCTTCCAGCACTCCCGGTGGAGGAAGGGGAGGAGGCAGCCGCGGACAACGCTGACGGCGCAGAAGAAGAACAGCCTGGCGACGAGGAGCAAGAAAAAACGTTCAGCCAGGAATTCAGCCAAGAGGCCGACGGAGGCTACACCGGAGGCAATCAAGACGTCCTGTCTGATGTGTCTAACAGTTATGGAGGCGTCGAGACCTTGAGGATGGGGGAGGGGTTTCAAGGAAAAAACCTTGAGGGCGAAGACGACGCCAACGGCTACCATGGTGACATGGACGAGCCGAGTTCTCTGGCTGCGAGTTTCCGAGACTCCCTGAGTCACTCGCGCGACGAAGGACTCGGCACGACGGCGGAACTGTCGCTGCTCAGAGACAGTCTTGCGGACGCGCTGGCCGGGGAGGGGAAGGAGGGCGACGAGATGGAGGCAAATGCAGGAGATGAAGCAGCTGCTGAAGGAGAAGGAGAAGCAATCACTGAAGGTGAAGCAGCAGAGGACGAACCACCCGCAACTGATGGCGAGGCAGAAAATGCTGAAGGTGAAGAAGCAACTGCCGATGGTGCTGAAACAGAAACTGCTGAAGATGAAGCAACTGCTGAAGATGTGGAAGCAGAAACTGCTGATGGTGAAGTAGAAACTGCTGAAGTTGAAGCAGAAGCTGCTGAAGATGAAGCGGAAACAGCTGAGGTTGAAGCAGAAACTGCTGAAGATGAAGCGGAAACTGCTGAAGTTGAAGCAGAAACTGCTGAAGGTGAAGCAGAAACTGCTGAAGATGAAGCACCTGCTGATGGTGAAGCAGAAACTGCTGATGGTGAAGCAGAAACTGCTGAAGTTGAAGCAGAAGCTGCTGAAGATGAAGCGGAAACTGCTGAAGTTGAAGCAGAAGCTGCTGAAGATGAAGCACCTGCTGAAGCTGAAGCAGAAACTGCTGAAGATGAAGCACCTGCTGATGGTGAAGCAGAAACTGCTGAAGTTGAAGCAGAAACTGCTGAAGATGAAGCAGAAACTGCTGATGGTGAAGCAGAAACTGCTGAAGTTGAAGCAGAAACTGCTGAAGATGAAGCAGAAACTGCTGAAGTTGAAGCAGAAACTGCTGATGGTGAAGTAGAAACTGCTGAAGTTGAAGCAGAACCTGCTGAAGATGAAGCACCTGCTGATGGTGAAGCAGAAACTGCTGAAGTTGAAGCAGAAACTGCTGAAGATGAAGCACCTGCTGATGGTGAAGCAGAAACTGCTGAAGTTGAAGCAGAAACTGCTGAAGATGAAGCAGAAACTGCTGATGGGGAAGCAGAAACTGCTGAAGTTGAAGCAGAAGCTGCTGAAGATGAAGCACCTGCTGATGGTGAAGCAGAAACTGCTGAAGTTGAAGCAGAAGCTGCTGAAGATGAAGCACCTGCTGATGGTGAAGCAGAAACTGCTGAAGTTGAAGCAGAAGCTGCTGAAGATGAAGCACCTGCTGATGGTGAAGCAGTAACTGCTGAAGATGAAGCAGAAACTGCTGATGGTGAAGCAGAAACCGCTGAAGTTGAAGCAGAAGCTGCTGAAGATGAAGCACCTGCTGATGGTGAAGCAGAAACTGCTGAAGATGAAGCAGAAACTGCTGATGGTGAAGCAGAAACTGCTGAAGTTGAAGCAGAAACTGCTGAAGTTGAAGCAGAAGCTGCTGAAGATGAAGCACCTGCTGATGCTGAAGCAGAAACTGCTGATGGTGAAGCAGAAACTGCTGAAGTTGAAGCAGAAACTGCTGAAGATGAAGCAGAAACTGCTGATGGTGAAGCAGAAACTGCTGAAGATGAAGCAGAAACTGCTGATGGTGAAGCAGAAGCTGCTGAAGATGAAGCACCTGCTGATGGTGAAGCAGAAACTGCTGATGGTGAAGCAGAAACTGCTGAAGTTGAAGCAGAAGCTGCTGAAGATGAAGCACCTGCTGAAGTTGAAGCAGAAGCTGCTGATGGTGAAGCAGAAGCTGCTGAAGATGAAGCACCTGCTGATGGTGAAGCAGAAACTGCTGATGGTGAAGCAGAAACTGCTGAAGTTGAAGCAGAAGCTGCTGAAGATGAAGCACCTGCTGAAGCTGAAGCAGAAACTGCTGATGGTGAAGCAGAAACTGCTGAAGTTGAAGCAGAAACTGCTGAAGATGAAGCAGAAACTGCTGATGGTGAAGCAGAAACTGCTGAAGATGAAGCAGAAACTGCTGAAGATGAAGCAGAAACTGTTGAAGTTGAAGCAGAAACTGCTGATGGTGAAGCAGAAACTGCTGATGGTGAAGCAGAAACTGCTGAAGATGTAGCAGAAACCGCTGAAGGTGAAGCAGAAGCTGCTGAAGATGAAGCACCTGCTGATGGTGAAGCAGAAGCTGCTGAAGATGAAGCACCTGCTGATGGTGAAGCAGAAACCGCTGAAGGTGAAGCAGAAGCTGCTGAAGATGAAGCACCTGCTGATGGTGAAGCAGAAACCGCTGAAGGTGAAGCAGAAGCTGCTGAAGATGAAGCACCTGCTGATGGTGAAGCAGAAACCGCTGAAGGTGAAGCAGAAGAGAAAGTAGAAACTGCTGAGGGGGACGAAGCAGCCACTGCTGAAGACGCCAGCGAGCCGAGCGACGAGGCCAAGGCTCCTGAGGGTGAAGGGGAAAAGAATGACAAGGAAGAAGAGGAGATAGAAGAAGTCCCGGCCATCGCGAAGATGTCCGGCCGCTTCCAGGTTCGGAAGGTCACGAGGGGCGGCCAGCCCGTGCCCTCGACGTCGAAAAGGGCTCCCTCGAAGCCGCCTTTGGACCTGAGCAGAGTGGCAGCCAACAGGAAGCCCATTTCGTGGCGACCGACGCCGGTGCAGACGTCAGCGCGCCCCGAAAACGCCAAGCCGAGAAACAAGGTTCCCGTCAGGAGGTTCCGCCCGAAGAAGGTGGTGGAGAAGGGTAAAGACGAGACGGCGCCCAAAGAGGAAGCGCCTACCATAGTCGAGACGGCAGCAGAGCCCGGGCAGCAGGAGGAGACGACGTCGCAGGTGAGCCAGGAAGAGTGGCAGGGCAGCCAGGCCTCCTTGGCCACCCTCGACCTCCCGCCCGTCAACGTGAGCCTCGACGGAGACTCAGACAGAGGGGCGTTCGACACTCATAGGTCTATTGGGATGGAGTCCATGCCGGAGACTCGACAGAAGGACGGCTTTCACTCCCTGGACCATGACAGCGGCAGACCCAGGACCGCCGGTACGAAGAACAAGTCCTCGAGGACGAACACCCGCAGAAAACGGATCGGCAGCAGGAAGTCCTCGAGCCTCAAGAAGTCTTCGGAGTCGATAAACTCGGCTCCGGAGATCACGGGCGGGAAAATGCCAAGCACGAGCGAGGTGTGGGTGCCCGAGGAGAACAAGCTGTATGTGTACACGTACAGCTCCCAGCCGAGGCTCCTCCACGTGCGCAAAATGGCCGCTGGGAGGGTGGCCACCACCAGCCAGTACGACCAGGATCCGAACTCTTCCTTTAGGCTAAAAATAAGGTAAGATCACCTGCGTGACGTCGCCGCCGGTGCTTTAGACCAGTTTTACCCAGTATTATACAACGTGTGTCGCGTGAAATCTCATCCTAACATTCGTAATATTTACATCCTGCGTTAAAAGTTAAAAGATCACTTCAGAAATACCACTTCGGTTCAAATGATTATATAATGCAGAGATGAATGAGAATTAGAGGCTTGCGTGAACTAGATTTGGGCGTAGGGAGCGCAACGGGGCACTCAACTCGTATGTATTTTCGTGATCGATGACCTCATAATGGACATTACAGAATGCCCACTTGAACCTGCAAAATACAAGTGAAGCCGATGGTACCGTTCTAAATCCCGGGTATTTCAAGACTTTACCTCAGAGAAGTAATCTATGAGAGTCTTGGGCCTAGTTATACTTATTCAGCGGGCTCTGAGAGTCATTTCTGGTCACACTCTAAGATTCAAGTAATTTTTTTTCCGTCATAAGCGAGGAAGCTAAACACGTGACCCCCAACATGCGTAAACAGGCACATATTAATCTCATACAATACAAAATCATGTTGTGTCTCAGTAACAGGGTATTTTCCACTCACCTTCTGTATGTGTATTTAGAAAAGGAGGAAAATCACATTCACGAATATAACTTGCAAATTGTTTTTTGTAAGTCATTAGATCAAGCCAATGTACAAATTTGTGTGTGTGTGTGTGTGTGTGTGTGTGTGTGTGTGTGTGTGTGTGTGTGTGTGTGTGTGTTTTCAAATTATTGCGTATTTTCCCATCTACTCAAAACCAGTAGTGACATAGACATACTTTCGACTCCACCCAACAGTACCTCGGGTCAATAGAGCCATATGTCGCCTTGAAGCGTCCGACCCAAAAGCCCAACTAGCCACAAGAGCAAAAGAGCATTCAGGGGGGTAATAGACGCTGTATTATCGCAGCGCATAATGAGGAACGAAATTAGAGCGACGGAGAAAGATGACGTCAGAAAGGCAAAGCAGGAGAAAACATGCAGGAGTGAAGTGGATATATACTGTTAGAGAGAAACTTTAGTGTAACGGAAAACTACGTTCCATAATGTATAATTGCATATTATTACTAACTCTGAGTAGAACAAGGTATTCCTATTCGTTGAGGTTCCGTTCTCACGAAATTGCACTTGAAAGGTGTGCACGTACAGTGTATGCGTAATTTGAGTCATTCGCCTAATGAATCCGACCTAAATTTCACTTACATTTCGATTTTATTCATATTGACCAGACATCATAATACATCCAGCATAACCACATCAAAGGAGAAGCATTACAGTACCAGCTACCTTCAGGAAATGAAGACGAATGAGGCTGCTTCGCCCAATATGCGCCACGACCCACGGCCTCAAATGACGTCGTTGCCATTCAAGTGAAGGGAAAAAAAGAATAGGAAAATGGAAGGAATCGAGAGCAAGGTCTTCCCTCTTTCTTCCCCTCGCTCCCCGTAATCACCGAGGAGGGAAATGAACTACTCCCCTCATTACAGGTGACACGGGGAGAAAGGGTGGCAGAAGAGGGGAAGGTGTTGTGGTAAGGTCGTCCAAGGTCGTATTGCCTTCGTGGGTGATTCGTTACAGTAACTAATACCAGGGATAACGTTACAGTAACTAATACCAGGGGTAACGTTACAGTAACTAATACCAGGGGTAACATTAACTGATACCAGGGGTAACGTTACAGTAACTAATACCAGGGATAACGTTACAGTAACTAATACCAGGGGTAACGTTACAGTAACTAATACCAGGGATAACGTTACAGTAACTAATACCAGGGGTAACGTTACAGTAACTAATACCAGGGGTAACGTTACAGTAACTAATACCAGGGATAACGTTACAGTAACTAATACCAGGGATAACGTTACAGTAACTAATACCAGGGGTAACGTTACAGTAACTAATACCAGGGATAACGTTACAGTAACTAATACCAGGGTTAACGTTACAGTAACTAATACCAGGGGTAACTTTACAGTAACTAATACCAGGGTATCATAGGAAGGGAACTCGGAAAATGGAGGGATATAATTAGATGAATAGGGAAATGCGACAGTAGGGATGCGACAACATACACAGACTGGCTTGCTCACGTAAGTTTATTTATGCATCTACATTCTGTCTAATTTCAGGAAAGGAAAAACTGGCTGGCTCTGATTCGCTAAGTCGTTTTTCAGGAAATGTAATATAGTGTTTTTGAAGGAAGCCAATTTTAATTTCTAAAAGGGTAAATATTGTATTTAATTTTTAAACTCCAAATATATGTAAGTGTATGTATTTAGAGTTAGTGATCAGAATAAAAAAGAGACTTAGTGATTCAAAACCCTCCAGGATTCGGGTTGAGTTGCCAGTTTTTTTCCTTTCCTGCAATTGGACGTACTGAAGCAACCGTTCCCGCTTATGTGAAACACTTCAGCATTGCAGCATTAATAAAGATCTAATTGAGAAACCATAAACAAACAAACATACAAAAGCATCAAGCCTAACGAAACATAAAATACAGACAATCAGTCTTTGGTGCTTATATGCTATTAATATATCATTACCCTTTTGACCTTTGCAAGTAAATTACTCGTAGCTCTTTTTGATAATTATGAATGTAAACAAACGAAATGGTAGACCGGGAAAAAAAACACTCTTTTATTTAACTTTTATATTATACTCATAATTTGTCTGACCTTGAGGAAGAGAAAAGCATTTCACATAAAGTTTAAGCACGCATATATACTTTTGGGAGGGTATTTATGCATGTTTGTGTATATATATGTATATATGTATATAGAGAGATAGAGACATACATACACACACACACACACACACACACACACACACACATATATATATATATATATATATATATATATATATATATATATATATATATATACATATATATATATATATATATATATATATATATATATATATATATGTATGTATGTATGTATGTATACAAACAGACACACGTACACGCACACACACATACACACACACACACACACACATACCTACATAGATATAGATATTTGTATATATAAATATATATACATATATTTATATTTATAGATAAATATATATATATACAGATAAATAGATAGATAGATATAATAATATATCTTTTGCATCTTCGTTTGCATCTTACCCGCAATATCTAAGAGAGTTTGTCGGATATCAAAAATTCATCAAGTGACCTGCATCGCAATAACCGTAAATAGTGGAATAATCCTAACTCGCTTTTCATCTTCCTTCCTTGGTG